TTTTTGTAAATAGTTTACATCATCAATTTTATATTTGACTCCGAAATGATTTTTTTTTTTAAATCAATTCATAAAGAATTATAGTTATGATTTACAAAATAATAAGACTTAATGATATGTTTAATAATTAAATATTCGTTACTTTTACTTGTCAATTATGAGTGTTATCTATAAATATATTGGACCAATTATAAGTAAAAATTTAGGAACAACAATCTAATGATATTTTAAAACAACAACTATATTATATTGTAATAAGTTTTTAAATGGAGCATAGTTTTTCACACTAAATAAATTGACACAGTCATTATTAGTAGCACTATGATGAAATATAGCGTATGTCATGAAAACAATAACTATCTAGTAGACATCGGATCTTCATGAAAAATAACTTGCTCACTTATTTATAAGTCTTACGCTTAATTAATACGTCTTTCTATATATCCCAAAAAATTGGATTTCGCATTAAGTCATTTTTAACGTATTTATAATAGGATATAATGATAAATAAACTTGCAAATGATTTTTAACTAATTTTTATTACAGATTCGTGCGAAGCAAGCTGCGAAAGCTTTGGAGGCAATGACTCGTACACCAAATGAAGAAAAAGAAGCCACAATATATGCAAGGCTTCCAGAGTTAGCGAAAATTCTAAGAAATATTTTTGTTGCTGAAAAAAAATGTGTACTCCTTTTAGAGTTTGTTATTGATAAGCTCGATAATTCTTATAGAACTAAACTAACATCCAAAGAGTTAGAGGAACATATAAAACTCATGTGTAAATTACTTCCGACATGGGCGACTATTCATCATATTCGAAAGCAAGATTATCTAAAAATATCGAAAGACGTTGATATCGCTAAGGTCGTTAAAAAATATGAATTACAAGCTAATGATAAACTCAAAGTTTGATGTTTTTTTCCAAATAATTAATGAATTTCACATAATATTGTATACTATTGATAAATTAATCAACTTTCAAATAATTATCATTTTTTTCCATAATTTTTTTACAGCAGTGTGTTATTGATGAACTATGATTTGCAATTAATAAAAAATTAAATTTCAATTTGAAATTTGAATTTACATTTGAGAATTTATTTGAAAATGTTTGACTAATATCTTTTCATTTTTTTGGTTAAATAACTTATACTATGATCGGAGATCCTCACATTTCTAACAGCAAGTGAGCGTATTATAATAATCTATATACATCTGATAATCAGGGTATTTTGAAAATTTATTTTTCCACCAACAAATTATAGTTTTAGTCAATTTATAATTTTATCATAGTGTTCCGTCAAGTCAAAAAATTCTCATATTAAAAGGGATATGAGACATCTTTTGTTAAAACTGATTGGATGTTTTTAAAAACGAAGTCGAAAAGATTTATTGAAAATTCATCTTCTCAACAATTGGTTTTTAATCTGTAGATCATAACAAAGATATTTATTTTTATCCCTTACATAAATATAATTTAATCTACTGAGACCTTAAATCTGCACAAATTTTTTTCTTCAACAACTATGATGATACTGTTGGGGCCGATCAACTCCAAAACTAAATCATATAAGTTGAAACAAACATTTTTAACCCCTGAAAGGCAAACTGAATAAAAAGTACCTACTCCTAAAATTCAACTTCATTGGAATTTTATAAAAATTGTTCATATAAAATGTTATTTTATATTATTAAATTGTTTCAAAATTATATCTATCTTATGCAGAATTATTCGAGCTTTACTTTGAAAACAAAAAAATTTATTCGCCTTTAGTGGATACTTAAAATTAAATTGTACTAGATCTTTTTACCCTCATTGCTGTTAGAGGAATACGGTTTGAATGTTTGTTTGTCAGGGGTTTGATCATTGCTAAAATTACTAATAAATTGATTCGTTTTCACATGACATGTGAACAAGAAAATATTAAAAATAGTCGAGAATATTTCCTTAGGTCTTGAAACGACGACTTCTGAAGAAAATCTAATTTCTATGAGTCATGTCAAGCTAATATTCTTATCTTTTTATTTTCATTGCTGATCAGAGAACGTTTAAGATGAATAGGTATTACAAATATTTGATAATCTTTGTGATTTTTTTTTTTTTTTTCAAATATTTTGTCCAGTGAAAAGTAATTCGTTAATTCAAGTTTACTGATAAGTATCCGAATCTCTGATAGTATATTTTGAAAACCGAAAAATTTTGATATCGAACGCTCTCAAATACAATAGAGGAAATCCGAATTTTGAGCATTATTTTTATTTTTAAAATTCCAATTTAAATAGTCTAATAGCAAAATTAAACAGTATTATAAATTTAACTCAGAAATTTTAATCTATATTTTCTGTTACTCATTTGTTACAAATAATTATTTGCAGTATTTAAAAAATATTGGATTAATCTAAAAAAGGCAATAAATTTATTGAAATATGATGATGATGACTATAAAGTAAAAACTATGATTCCCAATAGTGCTTCCTAACCACAGGATATGGTTTCGTTGTATCTTTCAGCCGGTAAATATTACAAAGCTTCTTTTTTTCTCTGTACAATACTGTTTTTTGAACTGAAAATAAAATAAGTATATTTCACTTGAATTATTTCTAAAATTAGATTAATATTTAAAAATTATCAGATGATTAATTAAAGATAGGTTACATTATATTTAATTTTTGATAAGTTATAATTGACTAGGTATAATTATATTGAATAATAAGAGTTACCATAAGGGTCGAAGGCCATGAACTCTAATTTGTCAGCAAGTCTTTCACGGATCCTATTCATCGTATGTCCACTTACTAAGCTTTCCATTGCCATTAAAACATGTCTAAATAAAGAAAAAATTTTTAATTATTAAAATACAGTCAGTCAATAAAATTTATGGGAGTCGAAAAATTTTCACAAATTTTTTTTTTTTTTTTTTTTTTTTTTTTAGTAAATTTGGAAAAGCTGTTACTTCGTAACACTAAATATTAGTCGATTCGTAGAGAAAAAAAAAGTTTTCAATACATTTTTGCGCTCAAAACCAATAAAAGTACAGAAATTTTTAAGTTTTTGTGAAGGAACGTATTTTCTGAGATTTTGGAACTACAAAAAAAATACTAACAAATGTTTCTTAATTTTTTTTAAATATTACTCGTCATGAAGGAAAGTTAAAAGTCTTTAATCAAATGATAAATGAACTACTAAACTAATAATGTTTTTTCGTTCAATTAATTTAAGATGAACCTGCAAGATTTTATAACGACCATCGCAAATCGAGGCTTCTAGAACAGAATTCAACAAATCTGGAGATAACTTCGTCTGCAATAATTAATTATTTTTAACTTGGATAGAAAAATCACACCTTGGATAAAAAAAAAACACCTTATAGACGCACTCTAAACTAGCTCAGTGTTAAGAAGGAAATATTTTCTGGCTTGTCTTATTTATAAAATCTTGGAAACTGATAAACTTAAATTCCTACGAGACTTATTCAAAAATAAAGACCCTGATATTAGGAGATCGGACAAGCTTGCAACAAAAAACAATAATATGTTGTTCAAAATGCCAAATTTTGCTACTGTCATCTATGAGCATTCGTTTATTGTGTCCACTATTCGTCTGTGACAAGAATTACCAATAAAAATGATCAACTCATCGTCACTTCAAATTTTTAATAATAAAGCCCATGAATTTTTCATGAATGAAGAAACCAATTTTTGATAATTAACATGTTTGCAATTTGTTATTACTTAGATATTATATAAATTGTTTCTCTCCATATAAATTTATATAAATTTATACATATTATCATTTAGTGTATGTACTTTTATGTATTACATTCTTTTTTCCCAAAAAATCTCTTGGCAAAATTGGAATTTTTTATGACATAAAATTTAGCTATCACTTCACAATTTTTTAATTTTTTTTTAACAAACAAATTTTTTTTTAAAAATTGCATTTTTAATTTTTTAAAATTTCTACATGTCAATTTTTTTTTTTCATAATTTATTTGTTACAAAAATTCTTAAAATTATCAAATATCTGCTAAATTAATTTTCACAATTTTTTTTACATGTTAATTTTTTTTTTTTTTGAATAAATATAAATTAATAAAAAATAATTCACGTATTTTAAAAACCTACAGCATAATGATACTGAAACCAGCAGACGTAAATTTTAGTTATATAAGAAATGATTATTAATTGAAAAAATAAATAAAAAATGCCATTCGGCCTCACCCGAAATGGAAGGTAGATTTCATTTGATATATGCTATGTACATCAAATCAACGGCAGTGCTATGAGCTTTCACATGAATTTTTCGAAAATTAGCTATCTTATTTCAATCGAAAGTTATTCATCAATAAAGCCACAAAAAACGTAATTTTCTATTTTGTCAATTTTGAAATGCTACTACTTCGAACCTAATTTATTGATTTTGTCTATTCTAGGACTCATGCAAGCTAATCATCTAAGGAAATTGTGTACCAAATTTCATTAGGATCTGTTAACAATTCTTGATAGAATAACATTCATAAGTCAGTTGTACTATACATTGCCTGAAAATGGTTCAATAAACCTCTAAACTTTGATAAAATAACTGAAAATGAACAAAAAGTCAATGTTATAAACGTTAAACTGAAGGCAATTTCATGAACTATCCTATGAATTTTTCAAAAATTAGCTATCTCTTTTCAATCAAAAGTTATACATCAATGAACTAACCGAAAACGTGATTTTCACAATTTTGAAAATTTTAAATAGCCGCCATTTCTAAACTAATTGACCGATTTTGCTCATCTTTGAACTCGTTCAAGGTAATTACCCAAAGAACATGTGTACCAAGTTTCATCAAGATCGGTCGAAAACTTTTGCAGATATCTTGATGACAAGGTCGGTTATATTACATATGTATATACTATACATACATATATAAATTTTTTAACTAATGGTATTTTTGGAACTTACTTGACTAATTATGATACATGATAGCAAAATCAATTGAAAGTTCCACCATGAGGACTAATGCAATAGATATATTTCTAACAAAATCTACCTAAAAACAACTAAAAATATGAATATTTTATAGGAAGTTTGAGATAAATTACACGTAGAAATTTTAGAAAACTATAAATGCAATTTTTTAAAAATATTTTTTTAACAATTTAGTTGTCAAAAGAAATTCAAAACTGGTCAAATATCTGCTGAGTTTAATATTAGGTTTTTTGTGAGTGTTTTTCTTAACTTATTTTTTTTTTTTATTAATATTCCAATCAATTATTTATTGTTTAACAATAGCAAAACAGCTACTGCTTTTATCATGATAAACATTTGAATTTTATAATTATTTAGCAATAAAATTTTCATGTCGATAAATATTTTTTTTTAAATCAACTTACTTGCTTTTAGCTTTTTTAGCAAAGTTTAAACTTGTCAAAAACATTATCGAGATTATTTATTTTATGATAGTTTAATTTCAATTATCAAAAAATTTTACAAACTATTTACGGTTTGTTTACTCTTATAAGTTATTTGTAGGTTATTTAGGGTTTCAACGCTGTGTTACAAATAGATTCAGATTTTTAGATCAGAATCACATAAATAGACAATTTATTTCCTCATCAACTAAGGTGTCGTTACTAGTAAATTGAGCAGTAATTTAAAATTTTGTACGAATTGCATACTCAATGACGCATAATTGAACAAATATTCAGTTTTATTCAACAAAAAAAACTAATTTTTGACGAATATAAAAAAATTTGAACACTTGTTATCAAAAATCACCTACAATATTATAATATGTCGTTATGAAATCTGATAATTTTCTTTTAACGTAAGCTTTAAAATTGTTCTGTCTACTGGTAGAATTTATTAGTAAAATTAGACAATTTATTTTTAAATTTATGAATCATGTAATTATTACGTAAATATGGTAAAAAAAATGCACTTAAAATTAAAAAAAAAAAATGCTTCTTGTGCTACTTTTTAGTTTTTTTTAGTCATTAATTTTCAAATTTATTTAAAAATTTTTAATAATTAATTTAAATTAATCCTCATTACAAAGTCTCATTATTTGTCCATAAGGTAGTGGTATATATATTCCGGCTCCTGTCTTGAGTCTTCTTGCTTTCCTGCTGTCTACTTAAGCCAAGCATTTGTTAAAAAAAAAATATATGGTGTTATGCTTCCATCTAGTGGATGTTATTTTTATTTATTGAAAACTTTACTTACTGTAGTTGTACTCACCCCTGCTCCACACTCTCATGTATTTTTATTGTAGGGATTTTTTTTTTAACTAAATCCACTAAAAAAATCGATCTACATATTTTATTTTATTTTTTAAACTTCATTTACACAATTAATGTTTTTTTTTTTTTTATTATTTAAATTAAAATGATTTGTCCCTTAATAGATATCGTGCTTTGGGATGGGGTTTTGGCGCCCTCTCTATAGTGGCGGTGATGTGTAAAACTCAAACCTTTCAATCTGAGAAATGAGAAATGAGATCATGAGTGTTAAGCGTGTTAAGTGGACATATAAACAGACATGGCTACATTTACTTTCGTTGTACTAAAAAATTGTTTACCAGTTAATGGTGAGCTTAATAATTTATGCTTAATTGTATAATTATATTTCTACCTTGGTATTTTAACTTTAATAATTATATATTGGCTTTTTGCATGTAATTTTGTATTTTCCAAATTACTCTTTCAACATCATGTGCAACTTAAAAATTTATTGGCATTAGTCGCCTCTTTGATATATAATAGTACATGTGATTAAATGTTTGATTAATAATTCCTCTAATTCTATTAAGATTACAGGTATTAGATAAATATTAATCACAAAAAAATGGATGAAAATGATGAAAATTTAGTTGTTAATAATTCTGTCAAACAGATAAGGAAATTTTTGAATAATAAGAAATGCCAAGAAGCAATTGGACATTTACTTGAAATCAGTAAAAGTGAAGTTTTGGATCAATGTTCTTGGGAATTAGTTCCTGCTGTTGTCGAGTTTTTAAATGAAAATAATTATTTGAGTAATCGTGATGTGTTTAACACTTGTGAAAAAATTCTGGAAATAGTCGCCGACAATTGCAATGCTAATGAAACAGTTTTGTTATTTTTAGAACAAGTTGAAGATCTTGAAAATGACATTAGATTTTGTGGTTTGTTAAAGCCATTGGCAAAATCTCTGGATAAAGCTAATCTTGATAAAGTCATTGAATGGGTTGTCAGTACAATCATAGCGTACTGTGAAAATTTGCCATCACCGGATAATGTTAAATTAGAGGAATTCAATGACAATGGGTTCAAGGAGGATAAAGATCCAGTAAGCGAAAGACTCACTTCAACATATCAATCAATTTTATCTTTTTCAGAACATGTTATCAACAGAATCATCAGTTTAAAGTCAAATCACATAAAACTATCAATGCAACTGCTTAACTTGTATCTGAGTCTCTTTGGAAAATCTTTTTCTAATTTAAATATTAATAAAGGTGAAGCATATTGTATGTTTGAATCGTCAATTATTCAGATGAGTCGACTAACTGGTGACTTATTGAAATTTTTAAAATTTATCGAAGAGCGTAACAATGAACAAATAACAAAAAATATTGAAGAACGGAAAATAGATTTGGATAATATTCAAAGTCTTGAAAATCAATTGTTCCAAGTTGAGATAAATGATTTAGCATACGCAAATTTTTATTTCATACTTATGACTTCAGAGAAACTTAACTATTTGATTCCGAAAGTTTATCATCCACATTATCTGATGAATATACTTTTCTATCTTGGTAATTGTTTATTGAAACAACCAGAATATATTTTAGTATCAAAAGGATTAAAGCTTATTGATAATACTTTAAAAAAGATTGATATTGAATCTATCTCGTACAAATCTACAGAATTGACAATACATCATGATTTACTTTCGAGTTTATCACAAATAATGATTTTCTGTGACTCGGTGCCTGAACGAAAAATGGCTTTAAATATTTTTCGTCAACACATTAAACTTTTTTCCATGAAAGGACGATATTTATTGATAATTCATTTATATGAAACAAGCAAGAATTCTGGTTTACGTGCTTTAATAATAAGTATTTTAAAAGAATTAATAATTACATCGTTGGATACTAAATTACCATGTGAATACTTTATTGGTGATAAATTAGCAGCAATTTTACAACGTATTTGTAAACTTCCAAATGAAAGTAAATCTGATTTAGTAGAAATTTCTGATGAAATAATAACCACCTTGAATTTATTAAGATTTTTAATTTTGAGGGATAAAAATAACATTACGAACATATGGACGGTATTAAAAAGTATAGAAATTAATTATCTAGAACCATTGAGAAAAGGAATTGAACTTTCACGCGCTCATTGGGAGATGAAAATTCGTGACCTTGAAAATGAAAAAAAAATGCTTGGAAATCAAAAGGATGAGATACTAACCGATATTAATGTGATGGTAGGAGGTGAAAATTTACCGAAGATGCCTGTGGAAGAAACAATCAAATTTTGTCGCAGTGCTTTGAATACTCTTGATATGATTGAATGCATTTTAACTCGAATTAACGAATGTATAAAAATCTCCCCAAATTCATGTAAATGATGTCAATGTTAATAAAACATTTTTTTTTTTTAATTGTCACTTTCATTGTAATTATAATATTTGCTAATTACTTATATATACCTTTACAAGATTTTCAAGGAAATCATAGACAAAATCGGAAAGTTCTCATATCATCCGCACGTTTTTGAGTGCCTAGGAAGCTATTCTGACTATTCCTACGATGTGAATCTGATGTTTGAATGTGTGTTTGTGTGCAAATAAAATCTCTCTGAAATAATTACAATAGTATATTATTAAAAAATCATTCTAAAATTATAAGCATCACTTAAGTAAATAAAATATCAAAACACCTTTACAGCTTCAACGGTATGTCACATATAATAATAAATAAACATAGTATTAACTCACATGTTAGTCGAAAACATTCATATAATTTCTATAAAAAATTATAACAGAAATATTTGCAATTCTAATGGATGTGCCAATACAACGATAATATAATCCATAAATAATTTCTATTATTTCGCTATTCAATTTAGCTCCTCAATTGTGATTTAGGAGCACAGCATAGAAAATACATTTTTTTTATATTTTTGGAAAATTTTAATTTTTTTATAGTCTCTAGTGGCTTCTTCTATTGGTTCTTGACACTGTTCCCAAATTAATTTAATATTTATTTATCAATATTTAAAAAATTATTTTTCTTGTGTATTTCTTTTCGTTTAGTTCTTCACAGAAAATTACAACAATTTTCAAGTCAACTTTAAAAAACTTAAAATCAACGAAGAAATATTCTATTTGTAAAATTAAATTAATTTCAACAATAAATATTTTCAGGTACCCGGAGTTTATGGACTTCAAGATTATTGTTAGCATCTCATTTACCGGTCGTTGAAGGATCAAAAAAAGATGGATTTAAATTTGAGAGTGAAGAAGAGTATGAGAAGAATATAAAAATAAAAATTTTATCCGCATCGTTGCCATTTGTCAACGAATATGGGTGGAGTCGACAAACGATTAGTGCTGGTAAATTTCCTCAATCAATAAAAATTAATTAATCTTTAATGATTACAATGAAAAAAATAAGACTAGATTAATTGTTTGATTTAGGGGCGGAAGCTATAGGGTATCCTGGAGTAGCTCATGGGATGTTTCCGAAAGGTGGAATAGAATTAATTCAATACTTTTACGCAAATTGTAATGCTGAGTTGAATAAAATTCTAAAATCCGAAGCATTGGCGATCGAAGAGAATCCTGCTAAAAAAAAAAAACCACCAGAAGTTTTTGTAAAAGAAGCTTTGGAGAAACGCTTGAAAATGATGATTCCATATAAATCAACCTGGCCTCAAGCAATTACTTTAATGACACTTCCACCCAATGTTCCTAATGCATTAGCTAATATTCTCACTTTGATAGATGATATATGTTACTATGCGGGTGATAGATCCGTTGATGTAAGTTTAACTCAATTTTAATCATTTAATTAAGTAAGCGTTAAATGAATATATGTTTGCAAAAAAAAAAAAATCATTGAAACTCAAAAAGGTCAACTAAAACACTTATTTTATATCAAATTTTTCAAAAAAAGTTATAAATTTATTCTGCAGCTGATTAAATAGACTTTGATTGGATTCAATTTTTATCAATCTATAAAATTTTTTATCTATAGATTTATAATTATTTATTATTTTACTCGCTGCTATAAAAGTACTGAATTTTCAAAAATTTAGGAAATTATTAGATTGGTCGCCATTTTTAAAAATCGATTTTTCATCCAGGAGGCAATTCTGACTAATTTTGAAAAAACGGCTGTATTAAAAAAGTTTATGTTTTGGTTGTGAAACTGATATTTTACGCCTTTTGCATTAGTTGCAAAATGGGAGTATTTTTTAAACGAAGTTACCGATCATTTAATACGGTTTTTAAGCTTTCTTAATCACTATAATTATTTATAATTTTTATTTTTTTAAATACAACTGATGTAATTTTAAAATTTTCTTTCAAAATATTTTTATCGTTTATTTTACAATAATTTATTTGAACGTTAAAAATTGTTCCAAGTTTGTTATTTTCGTGTTATTTGTTTAGTTCAATTGGTACACTAGGAGGATTGTTCTTGCTGGAATCTATAAAACAACAGAGCTTTTTTTACTTCAAGATAGCAGTGAAAATAATCAACAAACATGGGAGTTTTTAGAACGACGAATACAAGATGCTTATCAAATTTACAGTTTATTAAATGTAGCTTCTGATTTGCCACCACCTGATCGAGTTATTAATCGCGCCACTGAAGCAACAACTGCTGTTTTCGTAACGGTATTTATTTATTTATTTAATATATTTTTGAACATTTACATTAGTAGAAAAATAAATTTTTTTAATTATTTAGAAATTTTTAGAAGACTGTCCGAAAGAAAAGTAGGTGTATGAAATAATGTAGAAGCAAAGCGCTTTTACAAGTTTTCAGTTTTAAGTTTTTTATAAAGTTATTTCTAAATTACACTGAATATAAAAGGCTTTCGCAAAAAAATTTCCCAGAAAATATAGATGCATAACTTGCAACGGAATTATATAAAGCTTTAAATAATTTGTATTAATCTCCATAGAACTACTTTTGTTGAATACAACCTCTCAAAAATTTTAACTCTTAATTAATGTGAACTAACAACCATTAAGTATTTGAACAGAGAATAAATGAAGAAATTTTTTTTCAGGCACGAAATATACTTGGATTGAATTGGAATAGGTGAGAAGATCTATGATAAAATATAACTTACTGTAATATTGTGATATTCGTAGTTATTAAAATACACAATAAAAAATAATCGTACCTGAAAACTTTTTATTTTCATGAAAAATTGATATTATTATTAATATATTTACTATTAATGTTGAATTTTTAATATTCAATGAATAAAGGAAAATTTATTTAATTTTCTATTCTAAAAAATCCATCACTTTATTTAATTTAATTATCGTTTTGAACAACATTTTTTTACTGTTGGGATAAGATAACAAAACATTTCTCGATAAACATTTTATTTTAATTTAAACAATGCGAATAAATTTACGTTAAGAAATTCTTCCAAGATCATTTGTTTCTTGAATGTATTTGAGTTACTCTATTGTTAATACTATACCTTAATTGGTACAGTATCACCAAAGTATGTACTTTGACAACATGTTTTTACAGTTAAATGTACATCTTAGAAAATATTTTATTATTAATACCATATCTAAAAGAAAAAAACAAAATCACTACATTGATCCTTTCATTATACTCCAGGACCAAAAAAGTTTTAATTAGTAAATTATACTATTACTTATGACAATTTAAACGATTATAGTATTTATTAACAATTATATTTGATTTATTAACTATACTACTACTAAAGATATATTTCAAGTCAAAAGAGAGAAGATCTTTCAGGTACAAAATTAGAAATTAATATGTCAAAAAAACTTTTATACTTAAGTATGAGAGCATATATAATCATACATGATTATATATAGGGTCATATATAATCATACATGATTATATATAAGCTCATACATAATTAGATCTGATCATACCTGGTTGTTATAACCCCATATATAATCATATATGAGTCCATATATGATTAGATCTGATCATATATAAGTCTATATATAATTAGATCTGATCATATCTGGTAGTTATAGCCCCATATATAATCATATATGAGTCTATACATGATCAGATCTGATTATATATGTCTATATATAATTAGATATGATCATACCTGGCTGTTATAGCTCCATTTATAGACATATATAAGTCTATACATAATCAGATCTGATGTTATTTATAATTCCCAAATTTTCAAATAACTTTAATACTACATGAATAAATAACTGAAAATTACATTTCATGATAAATTGATAAATCATACACAAAAGATTTTTCCATTTGGCATAAAATTGCATAAAAAAGATTAATAATATCAATTTTATATTGTATTTAAAAAATAAAAAAAAAATTTACTTTTTGTAAATTTTAAACCGGATAAAACACGGTAACCGATTGGTCCTACAACAGTAATTTTTTTTTTAAGTTTTTTAAAAATGTAGAGTAATTTGAAAAATATGGAAAATTTAATTATTTTTATTCAATTAATAAAAAAATTAATTTTTTAAGTAACAAATTTTAAAATATCAATTTCTCAATTAAAAAAAAATTAGAAAAACGGTTAACCCTAAAGGCCATCCCTGCAACTTCCCGCTCATTTTGTACTTAAACGCTTCAAACTACACATTACGTTTTTGAGCTCTTCGAGCTCAAAAATCTTATCAAAGTTTGATAAAACACGATTTTTCTAATTTTCAAACTGCTATAACTTTCGAATGAATGAACCGATTTTCACGCGGTTGGCGGCAATCGACGCAGTTTTTGAAGCTCCATGAAAAATTTTCAAGTTTAAATCGATCGAGCCATGAATTTCGAAGTTATTACAAAAAAACACTTTTTTCGATTTTTTTC